TGAATTATTATTTATATTTTGTATTATTCTTATTGATTGGTACTGAGACGTTGGTACCAATTCACTAGCCATTATTTGCATTAATATTATTTATTTGTCTTTATTGTCTTTYACCAATAAACTATTGTATGTGCCTTGCCATACGTGCACATTATATATCTAAGAGTTTAGTGTATAAGGTCGTAGCCTGACACCCTATGGTCATATTGGTCCTGACAGTCCCTCGTATTATTCAACTTTCGTTGGTGTAATCATTGAGGCCGACCACAAATATTGTAGGAGCCTCTCGATTAAACAACCATTAATTCAAATTTACAAGACCGATTAGATGGACCAGTGACGTTGACAGACTTCAACAATATATGTGACACATTATTTGCTGGTAAGCCAACAATGTGTAGTTTTATAAAAAATCAAGCTCGATTATGTACAGTCAAAGCAAAAGGTAGAAGGTATACACCAGAAGAAAAACAATTTGCTTTGATGGTACATTTTTATGGTGCTAAGGCTTATTGGTTTCTTAAAAAAGTGTGGTGTTTACCAAGTTTAAGAACCTTGCAGAGGGCTACAGAAAATTGGGAAATCGGTGTTGGACTCAGTGATTTTGTAATTTTAAAGTATTTTCTTTAAAAGTACAAACATTGAACAAAAAAGGAAGAGATTGCGTATTATGTGTTGATGAAATGTCATTAAAAACTTTTCTTTATTATAATTATGCCAAAGATGAAGTTGTTGGATTCCATGATGTAGAGACACATAAAACCACTGATGTTGCAAAATCTGTAATGGTCTTGATGATGAGAGGTATACATGATACGTGGAAACAGCCAATAGGGTACTATTTTGTTGGTTCAACTTGCTCTGGTTTTTCTCTAAAAAAACATGATATATAAGTGTATTTTAAAGTTAATTAGTATTTCATTTAATGTTAGAGTCATGATATCTGATATGGGTTCTAATTTTAAATCATTCGCGGATAATGTGGGAGTAACACCTGCAAACCCTTATTTTAAAGTTGGAACAAAAGAAATTATATACATGTTTGACCCTCCTCATTTACTAAAATCAACCAGAACTAACTTTTTTAACTATAGATTAGTTTCTGAAGACAAAATTATTGAGAGCAAACATTAAAAACAATTCTACAATTCTGATGCACAGCGAACTCATCGCCTAGCTCCTAAATTGACAGAAAAACATATGAATCCTGGTCCATTTCAAAAGATGAAAGTGAAATTTGCATCTCATGTTTTCAGTAAAACTGTTGTCTGTGCAATGACAACATGCATGACAGATGGATCACTTCCAAATACAGCTGCTAGTACAATAGAATTTATAGACGAAATTGATAATTTATTTGATATATTTAATTCTCGAATGAAAATAAAGCCACAAGAAGACGACGTTGAATCTGACGATGAATTAGAACCTAAGGGGGCAAAACGATTTTGCTTACCTTTTAAAAATACTGAATATCAAAATAATTTCTTATTAAAAATGTTTAATTTTTTTTAAATGTTAATTTACAAAAATTTAACACATCAATAAAGCAATGGCACAACATTAACACGTTAACCGCCATATGCCCGGCGGCGGCCATACGATAGCGTATTTGTGTCACGCCAATACTATTTTCGAGGAACGTTCTGTATTTGTTCCTATAAATAACTTTGGACATATTGATGCAATTAAAATAATTCTAATGTTGTCGTGATCGTCGATAAGCTCTAAATATAGATATAGATAAAATAATAATTAAACCGTTTTGTATGGTAGCCGGAGGGCATATGGCGGTAAGAAGTAATTTTTATAACTTATACGTCATATGCATGCCGGCTACCATACAATTGTTTATGTATAAATTATATTTAGATTTATTATCATAGTATTTATAATTATTATCATTTTATCGAACACGAAAAATATTACTCTTCAGTGACAGTGTTCAGTTACGTAGTGGACATCTGTACTACTACGTAAATAGTACATTTTTAGTGCCTATATTTTTAATAAAATTGAAAATGGAATCGTCAAATAGGCCGAAAAGGCAACGAATTAATGATTGTGAAATCGAAAAGGAACTTTTTTGTGACTTTGATGATAGTGACCTAAGTGGTTTTAGTGAATTCGATGATTCAGATGCCGATAAAGATTTCCATGCACCATCGGAGATTACAGACGGATCCAGTAGTGGTAAGAAACATTTATACACAACATTAAGTATATTATATGGTTTAAACTTTTAAAATTCACTMAACTGTGTTTTTTAATTATTAATATTTTATCAATTCTATCAATAAAAACATTTTGTAGGTATATTACATACAAATAAATATTTTAATACCAATTGCTTATATTTATAGTTAGACTAGTTCATAAAAAAATTTTAAATACCAACCTATACTAAAATTATGCAATAAATTAAAATAATATGTCTACAATTTTAGATACTAGTAACTATCGTGAAATTCAACAAATTGAAAATCCTTCTCAAAGTCCGAATGTGACCAATCATGCATGGTTTAACGTAACAGGCGACTATCAAAAACAATTTGTATTCAATAAAAATTGATATTCCAGAAAATGCATCAGTTTGGTACCATTTTAATTTGTTTTGTAGTGATGATATTATCGAACTCATTGTAATTGAAACAAATAGAAATGCCGAGCAGTTTCTTTCAAAAATTCGATTATCGAAAGCGAGCAGATTTTCCAAATGGGTACCAACAAATTATAATGAAATAAAAAAGTTTATTGGTTTACTTTTATGGATGGGCTTAGTGCAAATGCCAAGTATAGAAAGTTATTGGAGTACAAAATCCAGATATATTAATAGTATTGCCGGTAAAACGATGCCTAGGAACAGGTTTGAGTTGATATTAAGATTTTGGCACTTTTCTGACAATATGAAAGCCCCTGTAGATGACAGGATTTATAAAGTTCGTGGCTTAATTGAACGTCTCGTTAAAAATTATCAATCTGTTATGGAGCCAGGTGAATATATGGCTATAGATGAGTCGATGGTCCCTTTTCGTGGGCGTTTGAAATTTCGGCAATATATACCAGGAAAGGCCCATAAATATGGTGTTAAGCTTTTTAAAATTTGCGAGGTGAATGGATATACACATGACGTGAATGTTTACGCAGGTAAAAACCAAGTTAACGGTAAGGGCTTAGCATGCAGAGTTGTCCTGGAGTTGAGTAACCCTTTTTTAAATGCTGGACGGACAATAGTTACTGACAATTTCTATACCTCTTTACCTTTGGCTAACGAACTTTTAGAAAACAACACTCATCTTATAGGAACTTTAAGATCAAATGGAATAAGATTACCCGAAATTTTTAAAACAAAACTACGACCTGGTGAAATTATCGGCAGAGAAAATATAAATGGAATTGTAGTTGCAAAATGGCACGACAAAAGGAACGTTTCCATGATGTCCACTAAACACAATAAACATGGTCGAAACTGGTAAAAAAAAATCGTAAAAATGAGTCTATTTTTAAACCACAAATAATATTAGATTATAATGCAGGAAAAGCTGGAATCGACCTATCTGACCAACTTTCGAGTTATAGTTCCCCTGTGCGTAAATCGATTAGATGGTATCACAAAGTTGCCACTGAAGTGTTACTAAAGATAAAAAAAATATCCATCACAAAGTTCCGTGAAATGTTAGTTGACGAATTATTACTTGAACTAGACCAATCGCAGATTGCTATATCAGATTGTCCAACTACTTCAAATAAACGTGGCCGAAAAACTAATCACAAATTTGAAGAGTCTACAGAAAGAGATAACCGTAACCGAAAAGTTAGAAAAAGTGCTTGCATTGCTATTCGCTCAAAACCACAGCTGTCGGTTCAAAAAAAGCTAGTGTTGAAACAAAAAAAGTAACTACATATTGTTCTACTTGCAACATATATACATGTATAGATTGCTTTAACGAAAATCATATTCAAATT